CACCTGATCATTCTTCTTTGTTGGTAATGTTGAAAAATTCTCCACCACTGTTTCTACTGTACTTTTGGGCACTGTAACATCCCCTGTTTTCGCCAAAGTATTTGAAATTGCTGATTCCCTTCTCAAAATCTTTTTCACCGCCAAACATGAGTCAGAAGAGTGACCCCATTTAGAGCATGGGGAAAATCTTGGTGGTAACCACGGGTACTGCAACTCAACTTCAGACTCGACTCCTTTATCCGAGGTAAATCGCCAAACTTTTGGGAGTTCTTTAGATAAGTCTGCTTCAACAAATATTTTAGCCTCTTCAAAGCTTTTGCAAATTTCAGTATCAGGATGGAGCCGTTTCGGAACACCTACCGCACTCGCCAGAAATCCTAAACCCTTCCTGTGAAACATTTTCTGCAGAACATTCTTTAGAACTATCCACATTGGCATGGTTTTAATCTCTGGTTGCACTTCCTCTGCCACAGGAGACCACTTTGAGATTATCATAGGGACATTGGCAATGTTCCACATTCCACGTCGGAGAACACGATTCCGAACAGTTTGATCTCGGATTCTGAATTTCATCGTAGTCTTATCTTCTACGAAAACATCCACCTTAATATTTTTGTCCCCTAGAGGCCAAATTTTGTTCACGATGACGTGCACCTTTGCCACATGAGGCGCATTAGAGAGGAATTTCCCCACAAGGAGCTCTTCCCACAGAGGATCTGAATCTTCGATGATATCATCTGGAATCACTACCGTCGGAGAGCCATCAACCATAGTAACCCTAATCTCGTGCGATACAAGATCTTGCTTGTTTTGAACGATTGTAGCGTACAAGGGTTTTGACTGACTTGAAGGAGGCTTCGAGTCCAGTTCCTCCCCATCGAACTTTGTTTCAGCAACACCGGTGCTGCTGCCATGAACTGAATCCACTGATTTGGTAACTTCAACGACTTGTGCTTTTGAGGTTTCTGCATAAGGTATTGTCAGAGGATTCCCGACCAAAATCCCTGGCGGAGAGGCCGCCGGAGCTGCCATTCGTGCGGCCAAAGAAACAGAACGAAGAAAACCCTAAATCGCCAATGAGATCGCCTGCCACGTCACTATTCTTTTCAATGGCTTCTGCTTTAGCAACTACTAACGAAGTATGGTATTTAAAACTTTTGTGAGATTGTATGGATGTTTTTTTCTGGCCAAAAAAGTATATTTTGTGTGTGTGTGTATTTTCCCCATACTAGCTGCAAAAGTATTACCGAAAACTTACAAGAGTCGACAGTGTAACGAATATAAACTAAGCATTACAAGAAGCATTAAAAGCTTTTTTGTTTGATAAGCATTTGAATTTCATTATAAAAATGAGAAGGTTTGTAAATATTACAAAGGGTTAGAACAAATAGGAAAAACCTTACCAAAAAAGAATAAAAACAAGGAGAATCCTAAGAAAAGAACTACGAATGAAGAGGAGAGTTAAATTAAGAGTAGGTGAGCCATATTTGCATTAGGTCACCAAACGCTTTCCTTTTCCTTTTCCTTTTGGCTAGTATTGCGTCACTGATAAGTGTCAATGTTCTTGAAAATTGCTTGTGGTGTGGCGGAGATGTTGTCGTGGAATCTCTTGTTACGTTCAGACCAAATACCATAAATGGTAGCTTGAGCCACAGACGCCGCAAGGTCCGGGGAGCAGTGTCATCCTTTAATCCAAGCCAACAAGAGAAGGCAGTCCATGTATGAAAAGCAAAGGGACGATAGCCAAACCTTTTAATGACAAGATCCCATATCTGTTCACTGACTTCACACCTAAGAAATAGATGAACACGGTTCTCTTCAAACAAGTGGTAAATGCAACAAACCGGACTTATTTGCATACCCCAGCTTGCTAAACGTGCTCTTGTTGGAAGATGGCCCTGGTGAGTTACCCACATATCAAAAGCATGTCTTGGAATTTCTCCCTTGAACCACACATTAGATGTCCATGACTGAGATGGAGCTCGAGGTCGTAAGACTTCCCACATGTGTTTGGCGGAGAAAGAAGTCAGGTTTAAGTCGTGAGTGTGCCAGACGAACGAGTCAACGGTGGTAGATACATATGAGAGAGGCAGAGTTGTGAGGTGGATTTGAAGAGATTCTGCGGCGGCTGATCTGGCACCGCGGACAAGCCAACCCGATGGGTTACAAGCTTAAGATATGGTGGCCTGTAGAGGAATAACAAGTTCCCTAGGACCTCCTGTCCCAAATAAGTCGATGAAAGGACCAGGAGGGGTCCAATGGTCCCACCAGAAGCTTACAATCTGCCCATTCCCGAGTTTATGTCGTAAGAACTGAACTGCCAAGGGTCGATGACCTAACAAAGATTTTCAGGTCCAAGAAGAATGTTTTTTTCTCATCTAAACTCCAAAAGATATCTTTGATTAATTCTGTATTACTTGATCCATTCTACCAAAATGAAGGAGCTGTTAGAAAATAGAAGCCAGATTAGCCCTAAGGCATAAAGCTTTGTTCCAAATTGAAAGTTCCTCAAACCCAATCCACCTTCCTCCTTAGGCAAACACACATTATACCATTAAACTTTAGCAACGGATTTCTTAGATATATCACCGCTCCAAAGAAACCTAGAGCACATACTTTCAATCTTCTTGAAACATCCTTTTGGTATAATGAAAGCAGATATCCAAAAGTTTACAGTACCATAGATGATAGAAGCTATAAGTTGTTTCCTGCCAGCAAAAGAGAGAGCCCGAGAGCTCCAAAAGACAAATCTGTTGGAAATCTTATCAAGGAGGGGTCTGTAGTCGCACAGTCTTAACTAGCTTCCGGTGCATTAGTGGAAGACCCACGTAGCGAATAGGCATCAATCCCGAGCTAAAACCAAGACTGGAGAGGTCTGCGGTTTCAGTTTGGTTCATACCACCTGTGAAGAGCTCAGTTTTGCTGCGATTTATGGAGAGACCAGACCATTGCAAAAAAGACTCCAACGTTGCAGCAATGTTTTCTAGAGAATGTTTTCCTCCATCAAAGAACACCATGATGTCATCAGCAAAAGCTAGGTGAGTGACATGGGGATTGGTAGCATTCGGGTGGTAGCCAATATCTCCAGATATGTATTTGGTATTTAGCATCTGCGAGAAAACCTCTATAGCAAGCACAAAGAAGTAGGGATGTGGGTCACCTGCCTCAGCCCTTTAACACTTTCGAAATACCCACATAACTCTCCATTAATCGCCAAAAAGAATCTGGTAGTAGTTAAGCATTGGCGGATGAGATTGATGAAGTGTCGTGGGAAATTGAGAGCCTGAAGAGTGTTAATGACGAAATCCCAATTAACAGTATCAAAAGCTTTTTGCAAATCTACTTTGAGCATAGATCTCTTGGAGATTGATTTCCAGTTGTATCCTTGTACAAGTTCAGTTGCCAACAACACATTTTCCACCAACAGCCGCCCAAAATTTAATGCAGATTGAGAATTAGAGATCAAACCTGGGAGGCATTGTTTAAATCTGTTAGTAAGAAGCTTGAAAACCACTTTGTAGACTGAATTGCAGCAAGCAATGGGTCGGAACTCAGAGATCTTTGTGGCATTGGTCTTCTTAGCATTAAAAGTTTTTAATGTTATCACAACTCCATTATCGTTACGTAGTACGTATGTAATTTGTGTTTAATAAACAACAACAGAACCCTAGTCAGTGGTATAGGAACGATAATGGAGTATTATTTATGGGTCGTAAGATGAATTAGTATAAAAATTATGATGCTACCCAGGATCGAACTGGAGACCTTTTGCGTGTAAGGCAAACGTGATAACCACTACACCACAGCACCTTGAATACAAATTATGGTTAAATACATCCTAATTCGTAAATCCTCAGCTAATATAAAAAAAGTCTTATCTGCCTTTGTTCTTGAAAAAATCTTAATTACATTCAAGAATGATGAAATACAAGATTAGTTACATATTAGTTTCACTACCCTTACCCTTTCAAGCAAATTCAGTTGACCTCGAAACATTATCTATTATATTAAAACAGAAGCACTTTTAGTGGTTGCTTCCAAACACTCTTAAAGTTTTTTAAAAATTATTTTATTTAATATTTATATTTAATTCCGAAAATTATGTATTAATTTATATATTTTTAGATTCTCCTTAAATATAGGTGATAATTAATTTAAAACATTTATTTTATATTGATATTTAATTTCGAAAATCAGTTATTAATTACGAAAATTTAGATTTAATTGAATTTAAAATATGATTTGAGGTAATTTATAAGATATTAATATGATTTGAGGTAGTTAAATGAACAAGTTAGCCAATTTATAAATATATTTATTTTTATAATAACACAAATGGTACTTGAATATCTTATTATATTTTATTACAATTAAATCGCCCTAAAATATCAAATATTTAATATTAATAAATATTTTTATAATTTTTATATTATAATAATATGATAGAGCAAGTTAGAGTTATGCATTTATAATTATATTTTTATACAAGTTAGTTTTTAAAAACATGTAAGATATTAAAAAATAGTTCGACTCAGAATGATTAAAACTTAACACATTTCATTCTTATTATTTTTTCATATTTGAAAAAATTTAAAAATGAATATTCTTGATTTAAGAAAATAAATAAATAATAAAAACAACTTATATCTAAACAAAAAAAATAAATACAAATTATATTAGAAAAAAATAAAAAATTCTCGTGCAGACGCACGGGGTTAGAATCTAGTATGTAGTTAAAATACTCTTCAAAAGTAGATACGTAGTTCAATTTATATATCGTTTATTTTCCTTGGTGCGTGTCTATAACCATATAAAAATGCTAAGAAAATTGAATGTCTTAACATTATTAAGTCAGCTACACTAAAATTTTCTAAATTCTTTAGGAGATTACACAAACATCAAATAAATAAAAATAACAATCAGTAACAAGATTAAAGTGCAAATGCCAATATCCAACGTGGCCAACTCCATGTCGATGGAGTTTTTTTTTTCAACACGGTTCATGTTTTTAGCTTAAGATTAGCGAGTTGCCGGATATTGATCGGAAAAATATCAGAGGTGTCGCCGGAGAGGAGACGCCGGGCGATGATGACGTTAGCAGCTTCCGAAGGATGGTAAGGATCCCAAAATACGTATTTGGAACGGTCCATACATACTTTTGAAGATGGGCCACATGGAATCAGCCCACCTACTTTCCCAACTAACGAGCAACACGGAATCTTCTCACTCTCAAAACCTACAAAAATACATAAACTTTATACGTTGAAATTTTTTGAAATAATTATCATCATAACATGATTAAGAGAATGGTTCATCAAATTTTACGCACCGTAAGATGAATAATTCTGGATAATATCATAAACGATGCGAAAAACGTCAGCGTAGACGAATCTTGAACCTTCAAGATTAGCATTTAAATCCTCTACGACGGTTTTAAGCTGGAGATTATACATTTGTGCAACCTCGTTTGGTTCGACCGAACATTCATTTCCAGCCGTCGGATCAGACTCCCTCTCGAACGGTATGCAACCAACAGGACCAACATTGATCACCACGATTTTCCTCGCACCCAATTGGTACAATCTCTACAAAAAATCACAAAACCATATAATTATTAGTTAATTTGATTAACTAATTAGTTGGTTTAGTGTTGGTTTAGTGTTGGACCGTATAGGTTTAGAGGAGATTTACGGTGAGTTGTAACCGGAATCTTGAGATCATTGTATCAACGAAGACTTCCGGTGGTACGACTTTCCGTTCAACGGTTGATACGACCGGAGTGAAATAATTGTTGATTAGATCGTTAGAACCTATCGTAACCGAGAAAATTGCTGACCGGAATAATTTAGCCGCCGCGGATTCACCGATCCAAGAAATGATTTCTTGTCTTGTGGTTGCAAAGTTGTCTAGTTGTGCATCCACATTTATCCGCTCGCCCTGTAATTAATTCTTTGTAAATAAAAAAATAAATGTGTGAAAATAAATAAGATTTTTTTTATAAAAAATGCTTACAAATAATTTTCCGGTGGAATTGAGGATTCCACTACCGCCGGAAGCATAATTGACGCCGTTGAGAATGATGGATCCCCTTGTTGTGGGTGCTAAGTACGGTGGAGTTAGCTCCTCCGAGCCCAATGCCTGAACTGCGGTTCATTTTTCCGGTTTAGCATGATCGAATACGAACCGTAAAAGTAATTAACCAAACTTTGGTTTCTGTAATTTTGGTTTTACGAGGGACGAACCGGTCCAAAATGTAAGAATGTTAAAACCAACGTAAGAGTGTCATAAAGGTCGTCTTTTGTTTTAACAAAAAAATAATAATTAAGAAGCGGTCTAGATTTGATCGTGAACAAACCGAATTCAGCCGAACAAACCACTACGGTCTAGATTGGTCTTAAGCTTTTGTTGTATAACTTGTAACTTCTTAACATTGTTTCATACTGGAAGTCAAAGTCAATGTAAAAGATTTCACATTATGAATACAATATTTGTGATTACGGCTTTCACTTTGCATTGATACTTGGGTATATTAGTTATAAAAAATTCGTATAAGACAATTAATAATTACTTACTTACGATATCGACGATTGTTCTTCCGTTGGTGAATCTTCCCGTAGCCGATCCAAAATCGATTCCATTAGGATCATAATTAGCCTTTGACAATGTGGCTAAATAGTTGTTGTTTCCGGCATCCACCAATGAATCTCCGAACACAAAACTCGCCGGGATTTTTTTCCCTGCAAAACACACCTCAGAGAAGTAGAAGAAGAAAAAGATCGATAATGCTACAACTTGGCAAAGAAAACTAAGCAACGACATTACTGGTATTTTCAGTTTTAAATTGTTTTTCCGTACAAAATATCAAGGACAAAAAGGGACTCTTTTTGTGAAGAACCTAAGACAAATGATAGTATTATTTTCTAAGAGAAAAAAAAGATTGAATAAGAGAGGTGAGTATGAAATTGGAAGATAGAAGGAAGTCAAAGAAGGAAGGGTTTATATAAGTTTATTTTTTTAATTTTTTGTTCTCATAAGTCATAGCAAATGGGGTCCTTCATTGAGAATGGCACAGAACCAAATAACTGTTAGTTCGATTCAGACTTCACAGCTTTTAAAATTAATGTGCATTGACCAATAACGAATAACGAACGAATTGTATAATTATACATGTCCACTGTTTAAAAAAATTATAAGTGCGAGTCAGGAAAAGTTGGCCGGTTTAGTATTAATGCCTACAAAGGGCTACATCATGAGCGTAACGCTACAAAAACATGTAGACTAAGTTTATGTTATATTGTACATGTCAAAAGTGTCCGATTCAATTTGGACTGAGAATGAACTGAATCACATAAGAACATTTTTGTTCAAGGTGGTTTTAGTCACCTGAAATTCTTGTAACCAAGCCATGTCTTATCCGAATAAAGTGCCAGTTCATGTCACGGCGAAGAATTAACCGATTTGTGTTTGATACATAAAAAAGCCATGGAATAATGAGAATACTGTATATACAATATATGGGACATAGAAAGAAACATATCATTAAACAGATCGTTCAATGTATGAGGTTGTTCATTATACTCCACAGGTTTTTTTTCTCTTCTTTTGGTCTCTACTCCACAAGATGTTTAATTGAAAGTTCGAAGAAATTATGAATAATTACCGAATCAATTTTTTTATCAAAAGTCTCAATGGAATTTTCCACCATCCCTACGTGTTACTTTAAATATACACAAAGCCCATGCTGTTAATAATGGAAAGAACGTGGGGATTTTTGTTTATTGTTCTTGCGACAGTAGAGAAGTTAATGTTGTACTCTGCAAGACTGCAATGCAACTTCCACCAAACTCAAGCAACATAATAAAAATAGCAACCCAAAATTTTTTTTTTTAAAAAAAAGAAGAAGAAGATAAACTAAAGCTTTTTGAGATATTTAATGTTATCTCTGGCTAATACAATCTGTTGATAAAGATGTAATAAATAGAGTACAAAAAATGTGGCAAGTGGTTATTTCTTAATTAACTCAACTTGTTACTTTTTTGGCTAAAAACTAACTCAACTTGTTGTCAAGAGTCAAGACTATTAAATGTTTCATGATATAGTCGCGTAAACGTGTGACTGAATCACAGACGCTCCAATGGAACAGTATAGGTTCAATTGTAGAGCTAAAACCTTTAACTAAAAAAAAATAGTAGAGGTAAAAACTCAAACAGTTGACATTGTAGAACGATTGCATTTTGTCACTTTTTTTTAATCTAATGATCTTGTCATGATATGATATTCTTGATTAAATAAACGTTTGGTGAAATGAGCAAAATATTTCATTTGTGAAAGGAAATATATCAAACAAATAACGGAACTCCAACTTGTTTTTTTTTTTTTCCTTCAAATGGTGGTAAGTGGTAACAGAATACAGATTCACCATTCTGCAAAATAATACTATATATTTTTATAAGCCGTTTAAACATGAAAACTAAAATTTTAGTAGGATTGTATATAGTAGTCTATATATCGGTTTATCGGAAGATAAGGAAATATATTTGTATGTGTGCGGATAACATTGCCAAGAAGACAGCTTTATGTCCTATTTATTATGGAATTTAGATGTTTGTACCTCTTCTTGGTTAATTCCAATGGTGGATAATAAAAAACAATCTTGTATTCCAAGTGTATTTAATTTAAATAAAAGTATGTTTGAGTGATAAAAAAAGAAGAAGATAGTAGTAAACCATTACGGAAAATACTAAGTAGAAAAAACCAATTCTTAGCTGATGAACACAATTGAGACCGGTTCAATTCGGTTTACATTGGTTGTGTTTCCGCCGGTTGACCTTTTTTCTGTTGTTGTCAAAGTTGACTTTGTTAAAAGTTCAGTCATCCTCTCTTTACTTGCCGTTTTCATGTTACAGAAACAGATACGCAGCGTCTTAACAGCAGCCAAAAAACGGAACGCAGTTTACTAACGACAAAACAATGGCACACTAACCCAGGTTCTTCTTCATCAATCATCATCTTTTCCTGATTTTGACCATTTCTCGGTGATCTTTAAATCGCCAAAATTGGAAACCCAATCGGGAAATTATAAACTCAAAATTCATTCCCACTGATCGGAATCGTCGAAAAATGGATCTCATCCAGGTGAAGAAGGAATCAGGCGGGATCGCCATCATCACAATCAACCGTCCAAAATCCCTCAATTCGCTTACGAGAGCGATGATGGTTGATCTCGCGCGTGCATTCCAGGAGATGGACACAGACGAAACGGTACAGGTCGTGATTTTCACCGGAGCGGGTCGATCTTTCTGCTCCGGCGTCGATTTGACCGCCGCGGAGTCGGTTTTCAAGGGAGACGTGAAGGATCCGGAGACCGACCCGGTTGTTCAGATGGAGCGGTTACGAAAACCGATCATCGGAGCAATCAACGGTTTCGCCATCACCGCCGGGTTCGAGCTCGCCTTGGCCTGCGATATTCTGGTCGCTTCCAGAGGAGCTAAGTTCATGGATACTCACGCCAGGTTTCTTTCTAATTTCGACGTCGTTTCGTTGTTCTCAAATTCATTTCCCGATTTGTAGAAATTTCATTTTTTTGGGTTCATGAGAACTGAATCTGGTGATTAAGTGAAATGATTCTGCAGATTTAGCATCGATCATAGAAATCATGTTCTTTTGAAGCTCGTCTCATTCAATATTCCAAAGTCGATTTCTTTGAATCTCTGTGATGATATGAATGTGGAAGCAACGTGTGAATCCTCTGTTTTTTGTTTTGAAGGTTTGGGATATTTCCTTCTTGGGGCTTATCTCAGAAGCTGTCGAGGATCATCGGAGCAAACAAAGCTCGGGAAGTTTCATTGACCTCGATGCCATTGACAGCTGACGTGGCTGAGAAGTTAGGGTTTGTAAACCATGTGGTTGAAGAAGGAGAAGCCTTGAAGAAAGCCAGAGAAATAGCAGAGGCTATCATCAAGAATGAGCAAGGCATGGTTCTTCGGATTAAATCCGTCATCAATGATGGACTCAAGCTTGATCTTGGTCATGCTCTTACACTCGAAAAGGTAATTAAAAAAATCGTTTTTGCCATTTTTAACAATCAATTTTTGGACTTTTCCGTTATAGGGAATCTAAAACTGCACATACATAAACTTGTAGGAGCGAGCTCACGCGTATTACAATGGGATGACAAAGGAACAGTTTAAGAAGATGCAGGAGTTTATAGCTGGACGTGGCTCTAAGAAACCTTCTCCCAAGTTATAGACAATTTCTATGGATCTTAAAGATATAGTACTTTTGTACCAGTATCTTAATTGACAGTTAATTAGTCTTCAATAATATGGTTGTTTGTTGTAGAAGTGTAACGCAAAATCAATTAAAAGCTGGTTGGGTACTTCAGTTTAGTTTGATATTTCTGTCTCAACTGAAAGACATATGTCCAGTGGGTTCTTCCCTTTACATTGGTTAACATGGAGCATAGCCTATAATTTCGTTCAAAGATGTTACTGAAACTGCTTAGCCTTTGAGGATTTACAAATAAGATTTGAGAAATCGAAGGTAAAGGGAAGTTTATCATTGTTAGGCTAAGCAGTTTTGAAAAGGGACACCGGCACTTGAGGCAACGAGTAGGATTGTATCACCTGGTCAACATTCTCTGTGGAAGGTTCCAAGTCTCTGTGGAGCCTAGTCCCAAGCATTTTGAATTTCGCTTGAGCAGACAGAACAAACTTTCGATATCTGACATCTTTGCTTATAACAACCACTCTGGCTTCATGTTGTTTCTATCACTGCAGCACCTATGAAGCTATATCTACATTCCTTGGGAAGGAAGTCAAATCATCGTCGACATTTCTAACCTTGTACCTGAAGTTAAGCAGATACTAAGGCCAATCATGTCAGAGGATAGCATTATTAAACTTAAGGTCTCCTTTAGATAGAAAAAGCAAAGATCCACAATGTTATTTCTTTTCTTTAAAATGGAAATCATGGGAGCATATTTATTCATCTACAGAACAAGATTTGTTTGTTTTCGAATTTGTAAATGTTGCAACTCATCCCCTAGCTCCTTTAATTTGCTACTTTCTTTCCCCTGTTTTTCATCTCCTTGGTGATGATTTGCACTTATGCGGGCAACATTTTTCTTAAGTCTTACCATTTAGGTTGAAAAATATGGAAAACTATTTCAAGTAATCCACTAAAACAACTGAAAAAGGAACAAATTTGAGAAGAAAAACATTCTTCTACATCAATTGGAGAAATGAGTTGGAATAATTAGTTTATTTGTTCTGCCAAAGTATATTAATCTCATACAGTATTTGTTCTACTAATTCTACTAGTGACTATCATTAACAGCTTTTGTCTCTTTTAGAAGCGTAAGGCAAATCAAAAATGAATTCAAGTTGGGTGGGTACTTCAATCTAGTTTGTTATTTCTCTCTCAAGTCTCAACTAAGACACATGGCCATAATTGGAAAAAGAATCTTCATTCCCTATCATATTCCTTTTTAGAAAAATCGGGTAGAATTTGTTTCTTGGCTAATGTTCAATAAGTATCTATTACAAAATCTGGTAGAATTTATGAAATAGATTTTCATAACTGTCAATATGTTTTTTTTAATGTTAATATTACCAGATAAAAATAAAAATATGGAAAATGACCAAAAATGAAAACTAATCCGATTTTTTTCATTTTGTTATAACGAGGATTAGTTTGTAGATCTCTTTTATATTAATTGAAAAACATTTTCAAAAAACCCTTATGACATGTTATATATAAATATGTCATGATGATATAAGTGTCATCTGAATGAGTTTCATGTTAATTTAGCTTTGATAAACTAAACTTTTATTAATATTAATCATATATACTTTATTAAGGAAAATATTTGTTCACTTCTTTTTTTTTCAAAAACGTGAATCAAAACTTTTCGTTAAACATTTTTTTTTTATATTTAAAATTTCGATTGCTACTAAAATACCGTAGTAGAATATATGGTAATATATATATACTTCTTTTTTTTTTCCAATTCTGTTGACACTGCACTACAACACATTATATAACTCATCCAACAATTACAAACAACACCGTCTTAGCTTAAACAATCTCTCCTATACAAGAGAAATGGAAATTCCAAAACAATACAAATCACTCTTCATAATGATGATCTTCATAACTAGAAAATCATCACATGCCGACCAAGAAACAACATTCCAGCTCCAAACGATCCATCATCAACAAACTCTGTTTGGGAAAATTACTGTGAAAATCATCAACGATCTCGGTAGTACACAAACGTTACTGTATCATTGTAAATCAAAAGACACTGATTTAGGTAGCCGGAGTTTGCAATCGGGTGAGTCGTGGTCGTTTACTTTTCATCGTCAATTCTTTGGAAGGACATTGTTTTTTTGTTCTTTTGGGTTGCAAAGTAGATGGTATTGGTTCGACATATATACAGACAAACGAGATGGTCGTGGCGATTACTGGTGCCAAAAGTGTTTGTGGAAGATAAGACAAACCGGACCTTGTAGGTTTAACGATGAAACTAAGGAGTTCGATCTTTGTTATCCTTGGAATTATTCCTTGTACTGACAAAGATATAACCCACAAGAATTTATGCGTTTGTCCATAACATAAACTATAAAACATATCAAATTTCTAATATTCCAACTCTTTATAAGTTGATAATCATATCATCTATTTTACATGAAAACCGAAACAAAGAGACAATAATACTAACATTAACAGTCCCATAGTGTGGTTATACATCCATACATATACATATATATATACAAGGACAGGTAAAACGCAGTAGTATCTTAAATAGTTCTACTGAGTTGAGGTCTGAACAGCAGCAACAGTAGATACCATTGTGTCCATACCGCATATATTATGACTTCCCCTGCAGATTTTGTAGTAACCGTGCTCGCCCCACATCGATCCCCATGAGTTCTTTATGATCCAATAAGGCTTCTCCTTAAGACGGATTGGTGAATAACCCGATGAACCAAACCCAACCAAGAGCACTCCATGGTCTTGGCTCTTTGAGCATACATAAGGGCACGAGACTCCTCCTATGTATGTTTGCATCCACAATGCATTGATAGCAACTGTTGAGAGCAGCAAAGACAATGTGTTTAAATCTCTTAATCCCTTGAACTTATACAAAGTAAAGCCTCTTTTTTTTTTATAAAGAGAAAAACTTACTAGCTAGAGGACCGTGCTGGACTAGATTTGCAGCGATTTGGTCTTCATCAGCGGAGACAACGCTGAAATTAGACACCTTTGCAGCGATCATGCTATTGTCGAACTTGCAGGTGGAATGGTCACGTCCTGTATAAGGATAGTCTGCTTCCTTCATAAGCCCACCAGCTTTGAGAGTGTACTCGAAGGCGTTGTTCATTAGTCCTCCACTGCATCCAGAGTCACATGAATTGGCTTGTTCTGGATCACACTGCAGGAAGACGAAAATTCCAACGCCAAGCTTAGTCACAAACCACTTTACCAAACACGTCAAATGGAAATCCTTTTGTCCATAAAGATTCCAATCTTGAAGCAAGCTAAAGAACCAAACAAGTGATGATAGAAAGGGAGAAAACAAAAAAATCAAACCTCATGGTCGCAATCTATGAGCTGCTGCTCACTGAGGCTAACAAGCTCTTTAGTCGCTAGAAAATGTGCTCCTTCAAGAGCTCCTGTCGCGCTAAACGACCAGCATGATCCGCACATACCCTTTTCACATCAAAAACACATTCAACATCTGATCATAATTTTACTCTCTACAATCGAAATTTTTCAAAAAAGGGGGAAAAAACGTCCATGAGCGATTTCAGAAGCGAATTGTCTAGTTCTGGAAACTTTTGCTGATACTGAGGTCTTATCACTGTTTCTCACATACCTGGTTTTTAACGGGAGTGACGGCTCCTTGTTCACGCCAATCGAAATCCGTCGGGAGATCGCTAGTCGGAAGGATCGGCGCCTGTTGAGTGTCAGTGGGAAGACGGAACCGCCGTTTCAGCCCTAAGTACTTGCGACGGAACTCCTTCGGAGTGAGATCTGAAAACTGCGTGACGCCGTGGACGGCGGTCGGATCCAGAGCCTGGTGACGTTTAGCTCGCCTCAGGTTAGCCTTGAAGACACGGAAACGGTGATCGTGTTCCTCCTGAGTCGCGTAAGTCTTCTCGTACTTGGATTTGAAAAGAGCGAAGTGGTGCTCTGCGGTGAGGAGCTGTTCATCGCTCTCCTCCGGGACGACTTGCCTGATCGGATTATCGAAACTGAGGTCTACTACCTCGCCGGTGATGGCGATCAATAAAGTGGCTGCGATGAGGAGGAGGAAGACTACACGATCCATTTTGGTTTTGCTTCCAAGAGATAAGGAAGTATTGAAAACTGTTACGAGCTTGTTAAAAGGAGTGAGATGATACACGTGGTGTGATGTAATTGGTTATATCGTTTGATATTTCTTGGGGAAAGCGACGACATGAGAAGTGACACGTTGCTTGTTGCTCTCTAATATCTTCGTAAGCTATGACGATTTTTTTTTCTTCTCTAATGTAATTTTTAGCAAGCTTGAGGGTAAATTAGTAATTTAGTATTCACTCTCCAATTCTTTCTCCCTCTTCCGTAGCGACTAGTAGCGACTCTCACCAGTCCAGTCCAAATCGGAGGTGAGCGAAATCTCCGGTTGTTTTCAGTCATGAGGTTGAGATCGGATTCACGATCGAATTCGTTTGCTTCTCTCATATTCGTCGCGTTTCTCTGGGTTTTAACCGGACTTGTTTCCCGGACCGAGTCGGCTCAGCAACCTTTCCGCCGCGAGCCGGGTCATCCTCATTGGCATCACAGCGCTTTCCTCGACGTACGAGAGAGCGTGCGATCCGATGTTCGCCGCATGCTTCACTCCCGTGCCGAGGTAAATTTCCACCTGAGATAATGTGAATCGTCATCAGTGAGCCTGGATTAGCTAGAAGAAGAAATCGCCATTGTTGAGCCAGTGAAGTGCAATTAAATCCCTTAGGCTCACGATTATGTATTTTTGTTGCTTCACGCGTATTGATCATAACTTCGCTCGTTGATATGGTTGTGAATTTTAATACTCAAATGATCTGCATCTTTGAGGATAGTATGTTTAGGGTGACACATTGAGAATCGAATTTCAGATTATGAAACTTGTTTTATTTATGCTCCTCTGCTTTTTCTTTCGCAGGTACCATTTCAGGTTCCTTTGGAAGTGAATATAGTGCTTGTAGGTCTGAATGGAGATGGAGGATACAGGTATTCCGTTGATTCTCAGAAATTGGAGGAGTTCTTAAGAGTTAGTTTCTCGACCCATAGGCCCTCATGCCAAGAGACGGGAGAGCCACTTGATATTGAGCATCGAGTGGTTTATAATATATTTCCGGTGAGTAATTATAAAATCTTAAACCATTCTTCACGTTTTTGTATCGTTTCTGCTTCAAGATCCGGTATCGTATATGTAGGATAATTTTTGTTCGCGTTTTGGATTGTTCAAAAATTAAGCTATGTAAGTTCTAGAATCTTGTTCTTGCTTAAGCTGTCTGGCGTTTTGCATATTGAGTCAGATTATTACTATGCGTGTGGTTTTTTTTTTCCTCAATTGTCAGTCTTAGACTTCTGATGCCAAGATTTTCATCGTGTCCCCATTAATCTACTACTCAAGTATTCTACGTTAACTTTTTCGTTTTCTTAGGTTGGGCAACCTGAATTAATAGCTCTGGAGAAGACAGTGAAAGAAGCCATGGTACCTGCTGGGACTGCACTAGAGGTTGCTGTGATCTTATCATCTCAAATTTAACTATCTCTCATAACAAATGTACATATACAGATATGTTGATGAACTGTTAATTTCTTTGCTGTAAAATCTACATCTTAAATTATATGACATTGAGCTGATTTTTTTTTCATTTAGGCTAATTTTGGGAGACACTTACCTGCCTATGACGTAGAGGCAACAAAAGTTGAGTCCGCATTTAACCGGCTTTACTCTTATGTATTTGATATGGACGTGGGAGCTGGATCAGCAGGAACGGCAGATAAACCTATACCAAGTGCCATATTCGTAGTAAATTTTGATAAGGTATGGCTTGCAGCGCTCTTCCTACTTCTTAAATCTTGCATATGGTAGGCAGATTGTCCAAATGATTTACCTGTTCTTGTGTCTTATTTGTGTTTTATTTGTTATTTGGTAATTGATTATATCCTGTTGGGTTCTTCTTTTAACTACCCCTTTCTTTTCTTAACTCATTATTCAGGTAAGAATGGATCCTCGAAATACAGAGATTGATCTAGACAGCTTGATGTTTGCAACTCTACCAGAGCTAAGTGATGCAGATAAGGAGAAACAGGAGGCCGATTATATTTATCGATATAGATACAATGGTGGTGGAGCATCCCAAGTTTGGCTTGGATCAGGCAGGTAAACTCATCTTTCTTTCTTTTCTTTCCTTGTTGCGGTCAATATGCGGTAAATATGCGGTAAATATGGATAAAAGTATTTAATGGGTTCTTCCTTGATTTAACTTTGTTATCCGTATGAGTGATATGTTTCTGCCAGAAAATTTACCACCCCGAAAACTTCTTTACCGACTGTCTTCGTTTACTCGCTTTCAAGTCCGGAATCTGAAAGCATTACATCTATCATGGTCCCTTTTGTTGATTATAGATAGGCCAGAAAGAAAAGAAAAACTTTAGAGGATTACCAAGAAGCTAGGCACTTATGATTACTTCATTTCACTTTAATTATCATAGATTATCCAAGTAATCGGCATAATTATTCTAAATTCAATATTCAAGATATTGTTGGCCAAATGGTTCGATGCATTATTTCTGATGTATTTATCTTCTTGATAGATATGTTGTCATAGATTTGTCTGCGGGGCCTTGTACCTATGGGAAGATTGAAACTGAAGAGGGAAGTGTTAGTCCCAGAACATTGCCAAGGATACGAAACATTGTGCTTCCAGGAAACGTTAGCCCTGTTGGTCATGAGTCAACCCACGATATCTTTTCTGGTCAGTTAGCGGCGTTAGTAGCTACTACAATTGAGCACGTCATAGCTCCTGATGTCAGGTAATATGATATACGAGACTTTCGTACTTCTAGCAATGAAAATTATGCTTAGATGATTCATTCTGAGAACGACCAGGTTTGAGACGATTGATCTAGCAACTAGAGTGCTGGTGCCTATCATTGTGCTCCAAAACCACAATCGATATAATATCATGGAAAGAGGACAAAACTACAGCATTAATATTGAAGAGATAGAATCCGAGGTAAGGAGTTTTTTGCATAAAATGAATGATGTGTGTATAATACTCGAGGTTCTTACGTTTTCTTTGCTCCCTGAATGGTGTTAGTAAATAAAGACATGTTGATCAAGTTCTTACTGTTATCAGAAAGTTACCACCCGTATTATTATCTGAAGTGCACATAAGGTTACACATGCTAACTGTCCTGAGTCTTTGCAGGTAAAGAAAATGACTCATCAAGGGCAAGAAGTAGTGATCGTTGGAGGGGCTCATCCATTACATCGCCATGAGAAGTTAGCTATTGCTGTCTCAAAAGCCATGCGTGGGCATTCCCTTCAGGACACTAAGACAGACGGAAGATTCCATGTGCATACCAAAACATACCTAGATGGTGCTATCCTCAAAGAAGTGAGTTTTAATAGTTGGCAACTGTTGTTCCGAGTTAGCTTAAGCTAGGGAATCCTGGGTTAACAGAGAAAAATATAATACTTAACCCTGTTAATGCTTCAACCAATGAACTCTTGTGTGATTTCTTTTTTCCTTTTTATTGGCCATTGCAGGAGATGGAAAGGTCTACTGATGTTCTAGCTGCTGGATTGCTCGATGTGTCTGACCCTGGACTTTCTAATAGATACTTTCTCCGTCAGGTAAATCTCATAATTTCAGACGCAAATTTCTTTCACAAGTTTTGCTTTTTTCATTGAAAGGATTTCATGTTTTTGTACTCAGAGCTGGGCTGATGAATCTGAAAGTTCGAGTGATTCCATAGTGAAGCACAAGCCTCTCTGGTCATCTTATAGCTCGAAACTTCTGAAGGGAAAGAAAAAGAAGGCCGTTAAGAAAAAGGGCGATCTCTACCGAACATACGGAACAAGAGTTATTCCAGTGTGAGTTGATTAATATAAACCAGCTGGAAGGAATATTCATTACACTGGCCAAGCAAGAGTCAAAAAAATTAAGTGTTTAAATTACAGTTTCAACCAAAAAAAAAAGCAATTGATATTAATTTTTACTCTTTATATAGGTTTATACTCTCATTGGCCGATGTGGACCCAATGCTCATGATGGAAGATGAGAGCCTCGTGTGGGCAAGCAGTGATGTAGTTATTGTGCTTCAGCATCTAAACGATAAAATACCTTTGAGGTAAGCAAAACGCAACAACAATAAAGTAAAAAGCAATGAGAAGCTTGCTACTCTGGTCATTATATCGTTTTTCTGATCTCTTGTTTCTGCAGTTATGTTTCTGAAACAGAGAGACAGCAGGCTGTTCCATCACAAGTACAGCGGCATATACTTGCAGGTATAGCTTCTGCTTTAGGCGGCGTAAGTGCACCATATGAGAAGACCTCTCACGCGCATGAAAGACCTGTCACCAACTGGCTCTGGGCAACCGGTTGTCACCCATTTGGACCCTTCTCAAACGTCTCTCAGATGAGTCAAATGCTTCAAGATGTTGCACTGGTGAGTCCAATCATTCTGATTTCTGAAAGTAAATTTCCATTTGAAATCCTTCTGAATCTCGTGGGACATGGTATCTTTAATCCGCAGAGGAATACTATTTATGCTCGGGTTGATTCTGCCCTACGCAAAATCCGTGAAACATCAGAGGTAAGGCAACTGAAACTTGTCAAAAAAAGAAATTTTTAGATTCCACCGCAGAGAGTTCAGCAACTGTGGTTGTTGTTATAATGCGCAGGCAGTACAAAACTTTGCATCTGAATACCTCAAGACTCCACTTGGAGAGCCAGTGAAAGACAAAAAGAACAAAACCAAAACGGAGCTCTGGGTTGAGAAATTCTACAAAAAGACAACCACGTTGCCTGAGCCTTTCCCACACGAGCTGGTCGAAAGATTAGAGAAATATCTTGACGTAACCTTTTGCGACTTCTCTACGATTTCTCAATTTTCCTCACAGATGGAATTTTAGCTTCTTACACTCTTTTTTTTTGTCTGTTATTTTCTTATATAGACCGTTGAGGAGCAACTGGTGGATCTCTCTTCTTTGCTATACGACCACAAACTATACGATGCTCATCTCAACAGCTCAGAGATTCTTCAGACCACCATGTTTACACAACAGTAAGTCTCTCTGACTCTAACTTGTCTTAAAACTTTTTTGCTTTCCCTTTTTGTTTTTTTATGTAGATGTTACACCAACCAAAAAAAAATGGTGGCAGGTACGTAGAACATGTACTGGAAACAGAAAGGGAGAACATGAGATGCTGTAAGATAGAGTACAAATACACAGTCGGAGTAAAGTCTTATCAAACGTTGGTATACGGAGGAATACTTGTCGCTGGTTTTCTCGTCTATTTCCTTGTCATCTTCTTCTCTTCTCCTCCTGCTCGCTGACTTCTTTCACTTTCTTTTTTTACTTAGTATGTAAACAAATATTAACATGGTACTAAGTTTTGAAGTGATGGATCAATTAATACAAAAAAAAAATTAAAAACCAAACTTTTTTCCGCTGAGGAAAAATTTTAACGACTTTTTTAATAGTAAAAATTATCATGTTTGGTATACTATTTTTGTATGGTTTTTGTAAAGCGTAATCCAAAAAGTAAGGCTAAAATCAATTTAAACCTTCTTGAACATATGAAAAGTATTGTTTTTTATGGGATGATTTTTATGGCGGAGGCTTATTGAAAGCATCATCTGATCAGCAGCAAAACATTAAACACAATTACTTATCATTCACTTAAATATACTCAAATATGACACAACTCAAATCAAAACTTAACTTACCAAAGCACATATTATAGCAGTTGATTCTTTTCATTTTCTTCCCTTTATTTGCAGTGATGCACTTGCTATATTTGGAGAACACAGCCCTAAAACTGCGGCCATGATTTTACTATATTTCATAGTGACTGATTCTTCTTCACAATCTTTTATTTAAAACTTATCTAAAAACAAAAATTTCCCGATTTTCTCCATCGAAAAGCTTTCCAATTTTCTCCATCGAAAAGTTTTAAATAATTTTTCATCAAAGTTTTAATTTTGGTTACTAGCCTTTGTTCGCTTTGGTTTATTAATTGAAATTATAATTTTTATGTTTTTGCAGTAAAGGGTCTTGAGAATGTTGGGAAAAAACGAAGACAAATTGACTTTCAAGTAGTATTTCTGTAAAATTTTGAAAATTAAATTTGAAATTGGATGCCAAAAAAAAATCCACTATGAAAAAATCCACCAATATAATGTCTTTTCTAAAGTCCCAACCTTCACTTCATGTGTCATTTGCTTGGAAGATAAGTAAACATGACATAATAATTAACATATAACACAAGAGCTATTCACATGAAAAAAAAAAAAATAAAAGACTTCAATTTCAACATCAACCAATTTTCACACTAATTCTTACATAACACAAATCAAAGCTTACACTCCAGAAAATCACTCCATTGTTCTTTTTTTCTTTCAAAGATTCGCGAAAAAGGATGGATATACATTTAAATTAAGGAAGAAGGGGTTGAATCATAAATTCATAATTCATAAAATAGCAAAAAGAAATCATGGTCAGATAAACAAGTATTTTTAAAAAGAAAAAAAATCAGGAAAATTACAAAAAAAAAAAGACAGCTGGGCCAAGCTAACCAAGCATGTGCGTCTCTTCGCCTTCATGAGTCATGACCTGTCTCCGGCGGTGGTGGCGGTGACGACGATGAGCTGGAGCCGGAGCCAACGGCGGAGATAATGGCATTCAAAGCACGAATCTGCATCTCCATCGCAACAATATAATCGGTGGTTTCTTCTAGAACCACAGGTAACGGTTGTTTCCGGCAACCGGGAATTAACCGGCTCAGAAATTTCACTTTCCTCTGTACAGCTGGCAAACCCTTCGCCTTCAGCCTCAAAACCGTTGCTCTCTTTTTCCTTAACCGGTTATTCCCGGTTATCGTAGGAGGATTCGAATTTCTCGGCCGGTTCTGTTTCCTGAACTTGAGCTTCACTTTCACGGCTTTAGATAATATAGCTCGGCTCCACAGTGTTCTTCCTCTCGCCGTAACCGCCAGTGATCTATAAGCGGCGTCGCGAACGGCTCTACCTCCGCCGCGAGGATGCGGCGGCGGTTTGGCAGATGGATCCGTCTCCGCGCTAATTCGGATTTCCCTCAGAGCTTGAACGATGTTTGTCGAGTAGATCTGTTGTTGCTTCTCCGATCTCCATTTCTGCAACGACGATTGAAACGGAGAAAGCGACGACGGTGGTTGCGACGGTTTCTTCTTCCGCTTACGACGGGATTGGTCATAACCAGAGCTCCTCGTCGGCTGATTCGTCACCGGAGAAATCGACTCCATGTCTATTCCTCTGCGTCTCCGATCAATCTGCGAAATTCAAACTGTTGGCGATGCAATTCAAGAATCTGCAGAGAGAAATAGAAACTATAAAGGAGATTAGCGATTAGAGATTAAAACAGATTAGATGGTGATTAAGATATTTTTTAGTATTAAAGTAATTTAGATTACATGTGGCGAGTGGAGGTGGAAGAAGGTGAGACGTCAAAAAAGAGTAATTATGTGGAAGAAGAGGAATCCTTTTTTAGCAAGGAAAGGTAATGGGAATCGTTTTTTATATGTTATCCTCTTCCATGTGATCTCCACTCTTCATAGTCTTTTTATATTTTTTAAAATATTATTTCATCATTATTGTTGACTCTAAACTTAATGACTTTTTTTCTTAATTACTACTATAGTAAAGAAAATAAAATATGGCACCCAAATTCTACTTGTTAATTTACTTTCACGGGTGGTTAGAGAGAAACAAAAAGAAAAAACTTGTGAAGTACTCCATTTTCGTTATTACCCAAAAGAATTTGATCTGTTTTTATTTTTAGTTTTTCTATTGTCGTAAGTCAAAAGTTATTACACATTTAGGTGTCCGATTCGTACAATTCCTTTTCCTCGTACGTTAGCATCTATTGGTTTGTTCACAAGTCAGTAGATTATCCACTTTAGACTTTATTAAATGCTACTTCTTTTTTTTTTTTGTCTGCTTTAGTGATTTTCGTTGTACAGTTCACATTCCATACTTTTATTAGCTCAAAAAGCCAAAAACTTAATTTGGATGGTGAATCTTGAAAGTCACAGAAGGAATTTGTCATAATTTTTAAGGGTTTTTAACGCCAGATTATCCTTAAAATCTATCGATAGAGTACACACGTTCGGACTCTGGACTAATGTTTATTCTTCTTCATTGATTTAGGCGTTTTAAGAAGAAAAAAAAATAAAGCGTAAGTTAGATTGGAAATGGCTGTGAACTTTTTTTTAAACGATCCTTTTCTCAAAATTCACAGTTTATCACTCAAATTGTGATTTTTAAAAAATTAGTAATCATGACACTTGTTTGAATTCCCTATGATACGTATCCGGTCCATCGACAAATACCCCACGTTAAAACTTTCATGCTGCAATCTAATACACAAGTTTCAAATATATATATATCACATTTTAAAATCAATCATTTGAAAAAAAAATAATACCGTAGACTGTAGGCCTTTCAAGACTTATAAAATTTGAAAAAATGTAACATCAAACCCGTCACTAAACCAAGTAAGTGAAATTTCGATTTAATATCACCAAAAAAAAAGGAGTGATGATTAGAGGGTAGATGCACTAACTACCTTTATATTTTAGATAGATAACATTAGCGATGGTCGACTTCACCTAAATTATTAAAAGTTTCGCACATGTTTCTTTCAAAAACGACATGTTAATAAGACAGTGCGGCAGTGCATGACACATAATTTATGCATGGTATATTTTGTTTGGTCAAACGCTGTTTTGTTAGATACCACTACCAGTATACCACCACACACACACACAAAAAAAAGATAACAGTTACGCATTAGACAATAAAACATATATCGATATTTTTTTTTTTTGTCAACAACATATATCGATATTAAACCGCACAAAAAAATTCATTATCTTATTATTCTGCCACCAATTTCTCTTAATAACTAACCCAAATAACTTATAAGGAAATAAAAAATTACCTGCCTAACCAACCCTCAATTGAACGAACACCTTACACAACATGTGTCTTGGGACCAAAGTTCACGGACCTTTGAAGCAAAATTTTAGTGAACGTGTTGAAGCAATGGACCTCTTTTAATTTTATAGCTTGGGGTCTCACAAACGCATGGACCAATCACTCATACATATATGATTTTACAAAATTTGTTATTAAACATATTAGAATTAAAATTATTTTATAAAGAAGAAGTTAGAACTATGATTTTTCTGATCAATGAGTACTACTTTGATTATTTAGCCTTCCTAAAAAGATAAATTGAGCATATACTTCCAACACAAACATCTGATGCAACCTCACGGGTCTCAGTAATACGACATTTTTTTCTTATATGGGTCCACAGTCCCCGCAGCTTTATCCAAATGGGATATAAGGTTATTTTCTTCTAAACCAAAAGGTATGAACATTTTTCCTAAAGCAACTTTCAACGCAAGAAAGAAAACAGTTTAAACGGAAGGAAATGTGATCTCTGGCTTCAGAGTTTCATACAAAGGTCTTAGCAGCAGACCCATAGAGAAACTAAAAAAAAAAGAGAGACATATTTATGCTAAAACTAACACATATAACAACCCTTAAATAAAGCCTTGCTAATGAGAATTATCTAGAAAACGTTGGAAAGGAGATTAGCAGCAGTGGAAATAGCTGCTCCCGTGAGAGCAGACTGAACCACCTGCTCATGGTTTGTCCTCTCCGAGGTCGTCATTGCCATCGCCGCTCCTGTCAATGCTCCAGCCACCGCGCTGTTCCTCTGCCACATATGTAAAGATGGTTACAAATTAATTAAAGAACATCACATTAGAAATGAGAAGTATATTTAAAAAAAAAAATGTTTCTAAAATGTTGATTAGACTCACCCAATCATGAGCTCCTCCACGAGCCTCCTTCATACCATAAGCTATACCCGAGTATAATCCAGCGGCTAGCCCTGCCACACCATATCAATCAACACGCCAACCCTTAAGTTTAAGGTCTGATCACAACGGCTAATTTAACATATGTGTATGTATATAACTCACCCCATTGGAGAGATTCTTTTCCTGTGTTTTTCACCTAAAGACCAACCAAATTAAACAGTATTATAAGACCAATTGTTGGTTAAACCAAGTCTAAAACAAAAGCTTATGACCAAAATTTTTTATTTTTTTCCTTTGCTTTACACACAAACGCATATACACTTACATAATATGTATAAACGTGGGAACGAATATTAAACATAAATAACTAAAAAGAAATTTAGCATTCATTTGTGATTAAACTAACCAAAGCGTCCAGAGACTTGCTGCTTTCACCTGAAAATGCAACAACAAACACTAATTAACATAACGTGCAATACAAATCTCATCAACCAAATACGGTACATAGATAATTGGCTAAATTGCAATTACGTGGGATTAAAAGCCGGACCTCTGAGATTAGGGAACCTATGTTTCTTGCTGCCGTTATTCTCCGACGGTGGACCCAAGTTGCTCGAGTCAAACCCTGCCCCTGAATTCATAATCAAAATTAATGTTTATTTGATTTATATCTAATTATTTTGACTTTATATTATATTATTGGAATATGAAGAAGAAGAAGAAAGTCGCCGAGTATTTACCATCAACCACCGTGAAGTAAGCCTCCCTCGACACAGCTTGTAAAGCTCCAACCTTCATAATCAATCCATATTTTAAGCTATCTTAATACATATTTATCGTCTTATATGTATAGTTATACACTAATACATATTCATTAATTTATATAATTAGAAGATTAAAACATACTCCAGCGGCTTTGACGAAGGAATCGGCGATCCGGTTAAGAAGAGGATGACCAAGATCGAACAAGCTTGCCTTCTCAAAGCTTCTTATCTCATCCATTACGTTTCTTCCACTCTTCTCCATTTTTGTTTTTGGTTTGGTTTCTTCTCTCTTCTTCACTTATCTTTTCTTGCTTAATATTTCTCTCTTTCACAACAACAAGTAAGGAGAAGAATGTGGAACAGAACCGAAAGAGCTATTCTCACTTCCTTGACACGTGTTCTGCTGCTCCACACGTGTCGGAGTCTGACGTTTGAACTGTTCACCGTTCTCCTTCCCTACGTGGCTCTTCTCCCGGAAAAGAGAAAGATAATATCCAAAAACATCAAAACGAGAAATAAAAAAAAGCCCAATGGGCTTGAGATTTATCAACCCGGATTTTTGAAATCTCTGGTTCAAATACGAGAAACGTGCCACGTGTCCCATCTTTGATATCTCCGCCTCCGCTCGTCTCTTGTCTCCGGTGTGAGCTCGTTGTCATCTCCGTCACTCTCCATTTTCATCTCTACAGATCTCTTTCACACTCTCCCTCTCGAACAATGCAATCAGCTCTCTCTATTTCCTTCTCACAGGCGTCGCTTCCTATCCTGAATCGTCCGCTCTGTTCATCAAACGCCGGTCCTTCCACGCCGAGGAATCTCCGGTTCTGCGGACTCCGGCGAGAGGCGTTTGGTTTCTCTCCGTCGAAACAGTTAACATCGTGCCGTTTCCGAATTCATAGTAGGAGGATCGAAGTCTCTGCAGCTGCTTCTTCTTCCGCTGCTGGCAATGGAGCTCCGTCGAAATCGTTCGATTATGATTTGGTCATTATCGGAGCTGGAGTTGGCGGCCACGGAGCTGCATTGCAAGCCGTCGAGAAGGTCTTCTATCTTTCCTCTTCTCTTTGTTCAATTATACTTTCTTCCGATTTTTTCGTGCTTAATTGAGACGGCAAAATTGGAAAAATGCTTAATAGTGGAATCATATGCTACATCTTCTTTGCCAATTTGGTAATCGTATGTATTCATGATCTCATCGGGTGAGTTTTTGATTCAATAGGGACTCAAAACTGCCATCATTGAAGGAGATGTTGTAGGAGGAACTTGCGTTAACAGAGGTTGTGTGCCTTCCAAAGCTCTCCTTGCTGTTAGTGGTAGGATGCGAGAGCTCCAGAACGAACATCACATGAAGGCCTTTGGTCTGCAGGTAATATGAACTTATGCAGCAGCTAGTGTTGCCTCTTTTGATTTCTGGTGTGGAATTATGCAACTAATAGTCCATGAAATGACTGTAGATGCTCAAAAGTTTGATTTTGGATACTATGTCCTTGGCTCTGAATCTATCTTGCTTCCTTTGTCTCCCTCGGATAACAGGTTTCAGCTGCCGGTTATGACCGTCAGGGTGTGGCTGACCATGCAAGTAACCTGGCTACCAAAATTAGGAATAATCTCACCAATTCAATGAAGGCACTTGGTGTTGACATTTTGACAGGGTTTGGCTCTGTTCTGGTCAGTATGTTATTGTCTTTGGTTGATAACTCGACAAGATATGCTGTTCTTAATTTGTGACCCCTAATACTTTTTAGTTTTTCGTGTACTTTTTAAGGGGCCACAAAAGGTTAAATATGGGAAGGTTGGTTTCCCTGACAATATTATCACCGCGAAAGATATAATCATCGCAACTGGATCTGTACCGTTTGTCCCGAAAGGAATTGAAGTTGATGGTATGTGTTTTGTTTGAACATATACATGCTAGGGGAGGAGGCTCAAAACATAAAACGTCTCGTCTCTGTTAGTATAGCAAGCACTATAAAATTCCTCATATTTTTGTTCTGTAGGAAAGACTGTTATCACAAGTGACCATGCATTGAAATTGGAGTCTGTTCCTGACTGGATTGCGATAGTAGGAAGTGGTTATATCGGTCTTGAGTTCAGTGATGTTTACACGGCCCTTGGAAGTGAGGTAACATGTTAGTGTGTAGTAATTATTTGCGTTAGTCTGAGCAAGTGGTGTTTGTTTGTAGCTTTCGATTAAGTATTTATTTCTCTCAATAGTAACGAAAGGCCCTTATGATGCTGAAAATGAGCTATGGCTATGTTTTAGTTACCTAAGGTTTGTGAGGTAGTAGAAATCCAGGAAGTGACCAAACTTGGTGAAATTTTTTGTGCAGGTAACATTTATTGAGGCGCTGGATCAGCTGATGCCTGGATTTGATCCTGAGATCAGTAAGCTGGCTCAAAGGGTTCTGATAAATCCAAGAAAGATTGACTATCATACTGGAGTCTTTGCAAGCAAAGTAAGCCTTTTACCTCACACATATTTCTATATATGATTTCTTTCTTGTACAGTTTGTTTGTGGATTTTATTATCTGTTTTAAACTCTTCTTTACAGATCACTCCAGCAAAAGATGGAAGACCAGTGATGATTGAGCTTATTGATGCCAAAACCAAGGAACCCAAGGATACTTTGGAGGTAAATAAAATGTCGTATAAAAGAGCTTTTTAAGTACCTCTGACGTGTTTACAAAGCTATTTTCTGGAAGGACTAATGATGAAGCATAAGAGAATGACTGTGTTGCTTCTTAGTACTCAAATCCGAGACTTAATCTCATGGCCTACCAGCTATGTGCTTTAAGTGGATCCCTAGAAGTATTTTCTCACTTTTTTGGTCCTCACTAATCTCAGTACGATATTGTGGCGCTTTTACTATTTCCATGCGGGCGTACCACGAGCAGAAGTGTATAAACTATTACATGCATACTTGCGTAGGTTAATTAGGGCTTCTCATTTTGTAGAACTTCATTTTTTCTCCAACAAAAGAATAAGAAATAGAAATGTCTTTGAATTCTATCACAATTGACACGTCTATGGGATTTTTTTTTCTTGTGCTGATAGTGTGACCTTATATTCTTTTTACAAGGTGGACGCTGCTCTTATTGCTACAGGAAGAGCACCTTTTACCAATGGTCTTGGCCTGGAAAATGTAAGAGATGACAATATACCGCATCCTGTTTTTAATAATTCTTTTTCACTTTTGGTTATGAAAGAAATAGCTCTGAAGCTGTGTTTTCCACACAGATCAATGTAGCTACGCAGAGAGGTTTTATACCAGTTGATGATCGAATGCGTGTTATCGATGGAAATGGAAAGCTGGTTAGTGTTATTTTCATATGCTCACACTATATTACTTACCACCAGTTTCTTACGGAGTCACTCTTGGTTGATAGGTTCCACACTTGTACTGCATCGGTGATGCCAATGGTAAACTGATGCTCGCTCATGCAGCCAGTGCCCAAGGAATTTCTGGTAAAATTGATTATCATTACTCCACTATTAGTCCATCAGTCTTTTTTTCATTTTTTACAGTTAAGTATGTTTAATCGATCTCTTAGTAAACTCTCTGCATCTACTTGTGTTGGGCTAGTGGTGGAGCAAGTCACAGGTAGAGATCATGTGCTTAATCATCTTAGCATCCCAGCTGCTTGTTTTACTCATCCCGAAATCAGCATGGTGGGATTAACAGAGGTAATTCTCGACCCCTTAGCAGATTTTTTGTCTTTCATTTTATTTTAAAACTGTAACCACAGCCTTTTATGTTTTGCTAATCATTTCTGCAATTCCCAGCCTCAAGCGAGAGAGAAAGCCGAGAAAGAGGGATTTAAAGTAAGTATTTCCAAGACAAGTTTCAAGGCAAACACAAAGGCCCTAGCTGAAAATGAAGGAGAAGGACTCGCTAAGGTTAAGAGAAGAACTAAATCGAAAAAAATAATAGTAAAGGAAGTTATTTATAGTCTTCGAAGTGACCGAGAAGATATCTGAACACGCTCTTTATGTGCGCAGATGATATACAGACCTGACAATGGTGAAATCCTTGGAGTTCATATCTTTGGATTGCATGCTGCTGATCTTATTCACGAAGCATCTAACGCGATTGCTTTAGGAACACGCATTCAGGCAAGTGTTCTTTTTTTTTTCCTTACTAACCAACCTGTTCCTGATTTTAATCATTGAGCTTTAGATTATGACATTTGCTGGCTTTTTGATGATAATTTTGCAGGACATAAAACTTGCGGTACATGCACATCCAACTCTGTCTGAAGTTGTAGACGAACTGTTTAAAGCAGCCAAGGTAAATACAATAATCTATTTCTGCAATTCTCTGATTGATAGAAAATAAATCTTTTTGGGAGTAAACCAAACTCTTGCTTGTCTCGCTTTCAGGTCGAAAGTCCAGCTTCAACAACGGCACAAGGTGTAAAAGTTGCTGTATAAACAAGGAGAATTCGAGATCAGCCTGTAACAAAAGTTTTGTGGAAGAAGACATTTGTACTTAAGCGACATTCTCTATGTATACTCTGGATTTCACGTACATTTGTTTCATGATTTTTTTTTAAATTATATCTTAGATTCTTATTTCAACAGAATGATAAACAGATTGTGACAGACACATAATTAAAATATACTTTTTATAAGTCAGGAATCCAAAATAGAAAACAGTAGAAAGGAGATTTATAGACAAAACGTCTAAAAATCGTTTAGCTTTTTAGCGGTCATATCTCACAGTCACATAACTAGCACCGTCCTCCAAACAAAACAAAAAGAAAAAACTAACGACAAGACGCTCTATGGAAATATCCCAGCTCCAGGGTTGATTACCATAGTACCCTTTGAAACTTTTTTGAAAACAGCTTCGAAAAGGTCGAAATTACCCCTTGTCATGTACACAAATTTACAGTTCCACGACCACTTTTCTTTATTATATTCCATCCCATTCACTCATTCAGCTCTCCATATCCATTTGATCAAGCTCTTGCATCCCATCATACTCCCGCTGTATCACATTTTATGTTTTAACATAGATTAATCATCAAACTCTATATACGTGAAACTGTGTCCTAATCCTTTACTAACAATATATATTTGAATTTGAGCAAGGAAAATAGAAAGAAAGCAAAAAAGAAAGTGATTTCACCTGAGCTTCTTCATGAGCCAGTTTCATCCTCCTATAATCTTGCTGAGCCTTCTTGGACCGGAACATGGCCTGGACTTTAACCACTGACCTCTCGAGCCGCTCCTCCGCTTGTTTCTGACTTGTCTTGTAGAAATCTTCCACCGTATCACTCCCTTCCTTCTCCTCAGGTTGGTTAACCTGAAGCCCTCTGAATCCTTTTCTCT